TTCATTACCATTCCATTTCCCTCAGAATCACTTTCAAAGTCTCTATGATCTGGCCCAATCCTCATCTCCAGAGTTATTTTTTTTCCACACTTCCATCTCCATCAGTGTTCAGGGTCTACAATGGGTCATATGTTCTTTGTCTCCCAGTCTTGACAACTGCCTGGTCACTGTCCACATCCATTCTTCCTCTCACCCAACCAAGTCCTCCAGGTCCTTCTTCATCTTGGCTGCCCAGTTCTTCCCTACCTTGCCCTGGCAGCATTAGGCTGAAGGGCACTCATAAGGAGCTCCTGGGCCTAGCTCAGGCCCAGCCACATGGGTGCATGAGCGAGGGATTGACAGACACTGACAGTTCCAGGTGTGTTACATTCCATGGAACACAGGAAGACTGTAGTCATATCCCCTCACAGCAGTGGTCCCCTGTGGTGCATCCCAGAGCAGTTCCCGGTTTCTGCAACCTCTAGTGGACACTACATGCCAGCTTTCCTGGGCCCTGCCCTCCCCCAAAACATCCAGGGCAAGTATCAAGTCTGGTCCATCTTGGCTGCCTCATATCTGGAAAGCATACTCCTTCCATTTCCCCATGACTAAACATTAGAGTTGGGCCAAGGCAAGAAAACTAGGAATGCAAAGAAGGTTTTTTAAAGTGATTTCTCTCTTGCTATCTGCTTCCCACCCACAGTTCCAGGAAGTAAGGCTCTCTTTTAGGTTGTGCAATCTCCCTCAGAGACCCTCAAGCCTAAGCTGTGTCACCGAGGCCCAGCTGAGAATGTGAACTTTCTGCCGTTCTCCAATGAAGAGGAGAACTGCAGTGCTGTGCAGGGGCTTGGACACTGCTCCCAGCCCCATATTCCACCTTGGGTGGGACCAGCCTAGCCCATTTTCTGGCCTGCAGAGCAGTTTCCTCCCTAAATCAGATGGGACAGGGCAGGATGCCTGGAATCCAAGGAAAGCCTGAATTATATGACACTGCATTTTCTTTCTGAAAACTATAAAAGTATTACAATGAAATGTGCAAAGATCTGGAGTTAGAAAACCAAAAAGGAAGAATATGCTCAGCATTTCTCAAACTCAAAGAACTGAGAAAAATCATGCCTCAGGTTGCAACGTTAAAGGATTCTGTGGGTAAAATATTGAAAGGCACAGGATGCATCAAAAGAAGATGGAAGAATACACAGAGTCAATACAAAGAATTGGTCGATATTCAACCATGTCAAGAGGTACCATATGATCAAGAACTGTTGGTACTGAAGAAAGAAGTCTAAGAGGCACTGAAGGCATTGGCATAAAACGAGGCTCCAGAAATTGATGGAAGACAAATTGAAATGTTTCAACAAACTGATACAGCATTGGAGTCCGTCATTCATCAGAAATCTGGAAGACAGCTACCTGACCAACTGATTGTAAGAGATCCATATTTGAGCCTATTCCAAAAAGAAGTGATCCAATGGAATGTGGAAATCGAACAATATCACTAATATCACATGTAAGAAAAAATTGGCTGAAGATCATTAAAAAACAGTTGCAATAATACATCAACAGGAAACTGCCAGAAACTCATGTTGGATTTAGAAGGTGTATCATCAAATGGATCTTGGCTAGAAACAAAAAATACCAGAAAGAAGTTTTCTTGTGCTTTATTGACTATGCAAAGGCATTCAACTGTTTGGATCATAACAAACTATGGATAACATTGCATACAATGGGTATTCCAGAATACTTAGTTGTGCTCATAAGGAACCTATACATAGACCAAGAGGAAGTCATTAGAACAGAAAAAGGGGATACGAAATGGTTTCAAATCAGGAAAGGTATGCACCAAAGTTCTATTCTTTCACCATACTTATTCAATCTGTATGCTGAGCAAATAATCTAAGAGGCAGGATTATATGAAGAACATAGCATCAGGATTGGAGGATAACTCATTAACAACATGCAATATGCAAATGAAAACTTCGCTTGTTGAAAGTGAAGAGGGTTTGAGACACTTACTGATGAAGATCAAAGATCACAGCCTTCAGTATAGCACCTAAATGTAAAGAACACAAATTCTCACGACTAGACCAATAAATAGCATCATGGTAATTGAAGAAAAGATTGAAGTTCTGAAGGATTTCATTTTGCTTGGATCCACAATCAACACTCATGGAAGCAGCAGTATAGAAATCAAAGGGCATGTTGCATTAGACAAAACTGTTGCAAAAAACCTCTTTAAAGTGTTCAAGAACAAAGATGTCAGTTTGAGTACTAAGGTGCACCTGATCCAAGCTATAGTATTTTTAATCACCTCATATGCAAGTGAAAGTTAGATAATGAGTAAGGAAGACTGTAGAAGAATTGATGCATTTGAATTATGGGCTTGGAGAAGGATACTGAAAGTACCATGGACTGCTAGGAGAACAAACAAATCTGTCTTGGAAGAAGTGCAGTCAGAATGCTCTTTAGAAGCAAGGATGGTAAGACTTTGTCTCTCATTCGTTGGACAGGTTGTCAAGAGGGATCAGTCCTTGGAGAGGACATTATGCTTGGTAAGGTAGAGAGAGGGTCAGCAAAAAAGAGAAGACCCCCAATGAGATGGCATGACACAGTGGCAGCAACAATGGGCTCAAACATGACAACAATGGTTAGGATGGCACAGGATTTGGCAGTGTTTTGTTGTGTTTTGTGTAGTGTTACTGTGAGTCTAAACTGATTCAATGGCACCTACCAACAACAACAGTCTTTATGGGAGCAGATCATCAAGTCTTTTCTTCTGCAGTGTGGCCAGCGAATTCAAACCTTCGACTTTTCAGTTAGCATTTGAGTGCTTTAATCATTGCATCATCAAAGCTCCATAATGAAGTTGTTGCTGTTGTTAAGCGCTGTTGAGTTGGTTCTGACTCATAGTGACCCTATATAGGGTTTCCGAGAAGTGGCTGCTGAGTTGAACCATTGATCTTGTAGTTCAAACCGAGCTTGCTATCTAGCACATTAACTTGCAGCACCACGCCAGGACCCCAACCATCAAAATCAGAACATTAGCAAGGACCTGTACATTACTACCATCGAATCCTCAGTTCAAGTTTCCCCTTACATGGTCATTTGTCTTTCTACATGTGTGTGTTTCTGTGACTATTCTGGTCTTTTTATAACTCAGAACTGATTAGGTTTAGGATCCACCCTATATTGCTATGACCTAATTAAGACAACAAAAGAAACACCTGATCGTCAAACGGGACCACATCTATAAGTATGTTGTTGTAAATGCCATTGAGTCAGTTCTAGCCAATAGCAACCTGTACAGAGCTTCCAAGGAATAGCTGGTGACCTTAAACTGCCAACCTTGCTAAAAACCAAATTTGCAGTCTGTCGCATTAACCCACAGCACCACACTAGGATTCCATCCATAAGTATTGTTATTAAGTACTGATGAGTCAATTCTGGCCCATAGCGACCCTGTATAGGGTTTCCAAGGAGGAGCTGATGAGCTTGAATCACTGATCTTATGGTTCAAACTGACTTTGCAGTCCAGCACATTAACCCATAGAGCCACACCAGGACTCCATCCATAGTTAAAAGGACCAGGAATACAACACATTTTTGGGGGTTATTTAGAAACAATGTAAATATCCCATTCCTCCTCAGACTGCCAATAGATTCACTTATTTATATATCTGCATGTACGTGTTAGTTTCCCATTTCATTTAGTTACTCTATTTTGATGCTCAAATTGTCCCTGATGTGACCAGTAGCAGCTCCTGCATGCTGGCGTCTGTATCTTACTGTATGGTATCCGTCCCACTTTCCGGCCAAACAACATGTTCCTGGCTCATTTTCTACTTTCTTTGTCCCAGCCCCGGAATTGCCATTTCTCCAAAGTCCTTTGGTTTCCTTTAGTAGAAATTTGGATTTAGAAGCCAGGACTGGGATGCTTGAGCAATTACTGTACCCAGGCCCTCTCAGCACCAGGTCTGGGGAAAGATGCACATAATTTCCTCCATCTGTGTCATTTATCTTTATATATGGATGTCTACAAGTATACACCGATACCTCCAATTGTATGCCAATCTTACAGGATTCATTCCAGTTTTCTCGCTACATATTTGTAACTTCCTTCTTTGATAATGAGAAACCTGGCTCACACTTTAACATACTTACTTGTTTGTTTTGTACCCCATCTTGCCACCACCTACTGCCTTATGCTCTTCTCTCTCTACTTGGGCTTCAGTGACCCATACTAGGCCTGCCCTCCTCTGTGGGTATCCCTACCCCCACTTGACTCTGACATGCACAAGGGGACATTCTCCTCCTCTGCTGGACCCCAACACTCTGCTCCAGGCCACCCTCCTCAGGGACACTTTTTTCTTCCTCCTCAGTCTCGGGTACCAACTCTGGGGCATGAGGGTCTTCCTTCCTCTCCCAGCCCCTATGGTACTTCCTTTGCTTTGCCCACCTTATGGCTTCATGATAGAATTATTGATAAAGGAAAAAGCGAACAAAGAAAAGATAACCTCGTTATATTTTAACCAAAGATGCATCAAGCACATACAGAGACAGGACAACAAAAACAACCATAATGAACATTCTAAATCCATCAGGCAACCAGCTCAGATCACCCTGCAAAGGGGCATCAGAGTATAATTGCTCAGGGTAACCCAGTTTGAGTTTCCTCAACTGTAAATGAGGGAAATGAGAGCATATTTGCTCTCCAAATGTGAGCTGTGACACTAATCACATTTTTCTCAGAACGCTAGAAAAGAATGGCTCCTTTTTAGAAGGCAGGGTGGGGCAGGATGCTGGGTGGGTGGAGAGATAGAATGGGTGTTTTCTGGGCAGCCAGCCCATGGCTCCCAGACCTTCCTTTTGCATTTTTTTTTTTTTTTTTTCCTGTTTAGCACATCAGCAGTCAAGTCTGGGAGGGTTTCCTGGATAGAGGTCCTTGTGGCCACTACCCTAAGACGTGAAGTACAGGCTGCAGCTGCCATTGCTCTCTGACCTGGCCCACTGCAGGCAGCAGCGGCATGGAGCTTTCGGGGGCCTACCTGCTCCTTTGCCTCTTATCTCTTCTTCCCCAGGTCATGGCTGACCCACCAAACCTCAAGGCCAAGAAGGCAGCAAATGTCAAGAAAGGTAAGGAGGGGCATGGGGCCTCTCCACCTTCAGGGAGCAGGTCACCTTGTCTTTGCTCATCCTCAGGCACTTTCCCTTCCTTTTCATCCTTGATGAGTCCAGGGAACCTGAGCAAAGTCCTATGCAGGGCATAGGGGAGATCTCCAAATAGCAGAGGTGGTTGTTAGAATCCGAAAAGAACCTTGGAAATCCTTTAAACTAATACTTGGCCCTCTCTACCTCAACATTTTAAAGAAACCTTTAGTTTGGCTTAGCAGTCTGGAGACACTCTGCTGATCAAGGACTCAGCACTGGGCAGGCTGCACTTTGTAATTGCCAAACCTCAGTTTCCTCAACTCTAATATGAGGATAATGGTATGAAGGTGCTTCCAAAAGTTCGTGGAAATTTGGAATTGAGAGAGAAATTTTTCCACAAAAATTTTTAAACGCCCTCCTTCATATTTGCTCATAGGTTTTATATGAGGATTAAATGATACAAAAAAATATGAAAGCATCCAGCGCAGTGCCTGGCACATAGCACATGCATGATGCATAGAAAAACAAAGGGGAAATAAATGGAATAAGTGAATTCTCAATTTAATACAGTATCATTTAGCCTTATGAAGATCAAAAAGATTCAAACTTAAACTAGTAAACCCCAAACAGCTTTGTTCTCCTCTCCTTCTGTTGCCTCTGGAGTTTGGGGTGTCCTTGGGTTGCCTTGGCTGCTGGCAAGAAGCTACCCTTACAGCCCTGCCTGCAGTGAGGTCACCCCTCAAATGTGTTGGGACAACATTAGCAAAATGCCATGGCAATTAAGGGCTGTCACCCCCCGCAGGGTCAGAGAGTCCAAGGGGACTAGGGTGGGGATTTAGGCAGAGAAACAGGCAGCCAGGGCCAAGATGGTGAAGGAAGCAGAAAGCGAGGGGGTGGGGAGGGCACTCTCTCAGCCTCCTCTGTAAACGGAACCTCTGCTCAAGGACTGGCTGCGGTTGTTAGGTGCCATGGGGTCAATTCCGACTCATAGGGACCGCCTATGATAGAACTATCCCATAGGGTTTTCTAAGCTGTGGTCTTCACAGAAGCAGATCACCAGGTCTTTCTCCTGAGAAATCACTGGGTAGGTTTGAGCTTGCCAACCTTTTGGTCAGCAACTGATCTCTAAATTGTTGCACCACCAGGGATCTTAGACCAGGGACTGGTGAAGTGCATACAGGTGTATCAGGACAGTGGAGGTCCACATGGCTGTAATAAAGAACAAAGCAGATCTAAGTGCTGATACAAAACAATCGCAAAAATCCAATTTATTAAAGAAATAAGCTTAAAATGAAAGATACTTTGCTGACATCTGCCCTCTGCGGGGTCACTATGAGTTGAAATCTAATTTTTCTGGAAGGATTTACAAGCAGTTGGTAACTATATTTACCTCTGGAAAGAAAATGTGGGTACTGGCAACAGTCTTGATTAGGAGGGAGACTTTTTGATCTTTATGGAATGTTTTTTTAATAGTAAACAAAAGTTCATTAAAATGAGAAGACTCAATACCACACATAGCTGTGTCCACCAGCACTAGCCAAATTTGTCCTAAGGGCATTCTTTATTAAAACAACAACAACAACAACACAGCTTCAAATGCAAAGAGCATCGTTTTTAAATATGGAAAAGCATTGCCACTGTACCTAATTAAGGCATTTTGTAAAAGGAGGGAAGAATCTGATCAGACGCTGCCTCAGTCCTCTCTCACCGCACACTCCTGCCCTGTTCCTGAGTGGTCTCCATGTAGATGCCAGGGTCACAAGAATGCCAGGGCGCCCCACTTTTTCCCTCTGGGTGCTGCCCCAAGATATCAATCAAGGTTGAGGAGAACCATTTCCAATTGCCCTTTTGTGGATAACTGGAAATGGTTCCTGGCCCCCGAGTCTTTAATGCCTTCCTCATGTTTGTAATTGTCCCCATTGCCCTCTGATTTCATCCTAGATGTCGTCAGCCCAAAGATGTTTGAGGAGCTCAAGAGCCAACTGGACAGCCTAGCCCAGGAGGTGACGTTGCTGAAGGAGCAGCAGGCCTTACAGACAGGTGAGTTGGGGGAAGGTGGTGACCTCCATAGGCAGGGGTTCATCACAGAAGGGCTCATCAGGTTCCCACTCCATCAGCCCACCCCTGTAGGCTAGGGCACCAGTTCAGGGTGCCCCCTTCCTAGCCTGCTTCCTCTTGGGTAGCCTCCTGACACGTGTCTGCAAAACCCACCCATGTGTACACAGTTAGACCTCTGGCAACAGCTGAGTGATGTTACAGCGCACTAGAAACATGGCTGCTGGAGTGTTCTGTGTATCTGAGGCAATACCCCACCCAGGGGAGATCCTCTACTCAGCCAACCCCCAAATCCTAGGGGCGTCATGTCAGCTTCACAGCTCAGTGTATTGGCAGCTTACTTTATAATTATGCTTGGTGGTAGTGGTTATATGCCATGGAGTCGGTTCTGACTCATAGCAACCCTGTACAGGGTTTCTAAGGCTGTAAATCTTTACGGGAGTAGAAAGCCTCTTCTTTCTCCCACGGAACAGCTGGTAGTTTCGAATTGCTGACCTTAAGGTTCGCAGGCCAGTTCGTAACCACTATGCTACCAGAGCTCCTTATAATTATGCTTACACAGATTTTTAAAATGGAGAAACTAAGACACACAGGGGTCCTGTGCCTTGCCTACACTTGCCCAGCTGGTCAGGAACAGAGCAGTATTGGAAAGGAAGCAGCCTGTCCTGTCTGGTGTCGCATTGGTACCACAAGAACTGGACTTGGACCTTCCTAACTCACTAAGTAGCTCATTGAGGCTGGATAAAATCACACAGCTGTGGAGCCTGGATGCCCAGAAAGGTCACACCACCTGCCCCAAAACTGCCTGGCCAACCCACCTGTCTCCAGTAGCTTCCCTTCATCTCACCTCCATTCTCTACACAGGTAAGGCATCTCCCACCCCTCGACTTCCTGAAAAACATAGATTAACAATAAAGTTGTTGTTAAGAGTTGATTCCAACCCATAGCAACCCCCGTATAGGGTTTCCAAAGAGCAACTTGTGAACTTGGACCACCGACCTTGCAGTTCAAATGACTTTGCAGTCTGACACATTAGCCCACAGCGCCACACCAGGACTCCAGATTAACAATAGTTAGCTCTTATATGGGGGCAGATTAGTACCAGGCACTGCTCCAAGTACTCTGCATACATTAACTTTATTACCATGTATGCCACATCCCCATTTTCCACTGAGAACTGTGCCTGGCCGGCTGTTGGAAAGTGTAGAGCCTCCTCATCCTCCTCTGCTTTGCAGCCTCTCAAGCTGTCAGCTGGGAATCTCCTTGGCACCTCAGGGAATTTACAAACCTTCCTGTGCCCACAGACACCTTCCAGGCTTCCTCCTTTGACCAAAGCACACCCATCTCTTGGGCTGTCCTCAGGAACCTCACTATTCCCAAGATCCTTCTCACTGGGCAGTTTTTATGCTCTCTTCAGCTCAGATCCTTTTAACATTCACACAGACTCAGGCCTCTGCCCTCTTCAAGAGAAAGAACCTCTCGAGCCACATCTCCTGTTCCCCATCACAGCCACATTCTCAGAAGAAGATACGCACTCACTATTGCCATCTTTTTCCCCGAACCCCAACTCAAGTCCTCGTGATGCAATGGTTGCCAACCAAAAGTGGTTTGACCCCACCAGCTGCTCCATGAGAGAAAAATGTGAGAGCGTCCATAAAGATTACAGTCTTGGAAACCCTATGGGGCAGTCTGGTTTTGCAGTGCAACCCTGGTGTTGCAGTGGTTAAATGCTCAGCTGCCAACCAAAGGTCAACAGTTCAAATTCACAAACTGCTCTGAGGGAGAAAGATGGCAGCCTGTTCCTGTAAAGATTACAGCTTTGGAAACCATGGGGCAGTTCTACTAGGTTTTATTGGGCCACTATGAGTTGGAATTGACTTGAAAGCAACAGGTTAACCCCAACTAAGTGTTCAGCCCACTTCAGGCTCCCACCCTGCTCCAATAAAACCAGGTGCCATCTAGTTGACTCTGACTTTCAGGGGTCGATTTGTTGGAAGTAGATTAACATGCTTCTCTTCCAAGTGCTTCTGGGTGGACTTGAACCTCTACATTTTCAGTTAGCAGTCATCATGACCTGGAAAAATTGGGACGTCATGGTCCAAATTATAAAATGGCTGCTCCAATTCCAAAGGCAAGAAGGAAGAGGAAGGGTGACCTAGTCATATCATTCCCATTTACCAAGAAAACACAATCCTACTTAACATCCTATTGACCAGAACACTACCACATGGCCACCTGTACAACTCAAGAGAGCCTGGGAATGTAACAACATAGCTTTTTTGGCTTCTGAAGTGGAGTCAGGCAAGGAACTCGGGAAAGGTGTTAACTTGGTCAACCAACAGTGTCCACCATAGAGGAAATGTTTAGAATAAGCACAATCTCACTCTGGGCCTCAGGGGTAGACTTGGAGGGCAAGCTCTAAGTTCACTTGCATGTCTGACTGAGCTGTGTGTGCAAATGTAACCCAGATGCCACTTGTCCCTTACGAGAGGTGAAGTGGTAGGGCCCTCTCTGCCTGAATGTGTCATGTGAAGGTTCAAAGTACTCCCTTCAAGTCTGCTGATTTCCAGTCAGTTCCCTGCCTTTTGACCTCCTCAGAGACTGTTTCCGTCTCTTCATCCTCTCCCTTACTACCACTTGTTAATCACCTGGCCAATAAACCCAACCACAAGCCTCCTGGTGCTAGGGGCTGTCCTGGACAGATGGGGTGGGCAGGGATGGAATGCAGGGTCTGCCTCTGGCAGTTGGGTCTTTGGCCCTGGAACCCTTAAGACCTTCAGTGGCGGCATTTTCTCTCACCACCCCCCTCCTTTCGTCCCAGTTTGCTTGAAGGGCACTAAGGTGCACATGAAGTGCTTCCTGGCCTTTCCTCAGGCTAAGACCTTCCACGAGGCCAGTGAGGATTGCATCTCGCGCGGAGGCACCCTGGGCACCCCGCAGACGGGCTCCGAGAATGACGCTCTCTACGAGTACCTACACCAGAGCGTGGGCGCTGAGGCTGAGATCTGGCTGGGCCTCAATGACATGGCAACCGACGGCGTCTGGGTGGATATGACAGGCGGAAGCATAGCCTACAAGAACTGGGAGACGGAGATTACCGGGCAGCCAGATGGTGGCAAGACAGAAAACTGCGCTTCGCTGTCGGGCACGGCCGCTGGCAAATGGTTCGACAGGCGCTGCCGCGACAAGTTACCATACATCTGCCAATTCGGGATCGTGTAGGCAGGATCGTGGGAGCGAGGCCATGGAGGGCGTGTGGGTGGATGGGGGCCTTCTTCTTCAAATAAAGTTGCTGCCGCATTTGGGGAAGTCGACGTGGTCTGTGCTGTGTTCGCAGGGGCAGGGAGATTTCCAGCCCTGGGAAACCAAAGGGAGGCGGAGACAGGGAGGTGAGGCTGATTCTCAAAACCCGGACTGGAAAAAGGAGGGCCAAAGTGGGGCAGGACGGTAAGAGTAAGGGAAAAGCGACATCTCTGGCCTACTGCCTTTTCTCCTTTTTAGAATTTATGTGCCCATAATGCAAGACCTACAGAAAATTGGCAAGAATTCTCCTTAAACCTTTCATCCAGATTTCTCCAAATTAACAGTTTTCCCTATTTGCTTGAGCATATACTTCATCTTTATGAGCCAAAGAAAAGTAAATTGCAGACATGGTGCCCTTTTACACCTAAATCCTTCATTTTGTGTGTGTTTCCTTTTTTCTTTCTTTTTTAACGTTTTATTGTGAATTATGTGATAGTTTACATGGGCGAACATTAGTTTTACATTCATCCTATCGTATATATCGTTACATTGCCATGGTTACAATCCCCTCCATACATCATCAACCAACCAAAGGGTATACCCTG